TTTAGAGACCTGTAGCTATTTATTTTAATTAAAATGTGAATCTGAGCAGATTGGTATTAAATGCATAAGAAATTCATGCGTGACTGAAATGAGCTGAAATTTGGATATGTCATGCCTCTATGACTTATATGTGTTGTGTTAAATTTTTAGAATTTTTGGAGTTGATTTGATATGGGTAATATTTTATTTATTTAATCTGCAGAATTGTTGTTTGAATATTTAAAAATCGGTTACTGCATGAAAAATTCTGAAATTTTACTGAGAGTCATATTTTAGGTGTTTAATCATGTTTGTAAAATTTGAAAATTTTTAGAGTCTGTTTGGTTTCAGTTTGGATTTAAAATCGATAAACTGCTGTTGCTCGTTTGGATTTTTAAAAATAGCAGCAGTTATCATTTAAGGCTGAAATTTTTATAAGTGGATTTTGGTATACTGAATGTTGCTATATAAATTTTTCAGGTTCAGATTCATTCATTAAGTCTGAGTATGGATTAATGTGGCCTTTTTGCTGAATTACTGTTCGAATTTTATAAAGTAGGCTATTTTGAGTTTAAAGCTGAAACTTTGTGATTTTACATGTTTTTGGGAGTTAAAATTTTGTATAAATTTTTAGAACTTAATCCGTAGGATATCTTGACTTTTTTATTTTTCACGCAATTAAATGATTTAAATTTTCGATCAAAATTGTTACATTGAATTTGGATGGACTTGCTTTTTGGTTTTTATGTGTGTTTGACTTGGTCAATCCTTAGATGGATTTATGTGAACTCCCTTATGTGGTTTGGTCGAGTTTAGAGCCGAGTCTTAGTGTTCCATATCCACAGAACTTCACGAATCACTTGGTCGAACCGAGTTCGGCTAAGTCAACTTGTGAATTTGCTACATAGGTCTATATTAAAGTGTTGACTTTAGTATCTGGACTTAATGTAGGTGTTGAGAGGTGTTGAACCATACCTCGTCTCGAGATTTGTGATTTGAACTGTAGCTGATATCAGGTGGGTACATTTATGATGTATTCCATAATTATCGCACTTCCTTATTTCGTGTAATGTTTCTTTTGAAAATTTTTGTATGCATGAGAACTCTAGTCTAAGTGTCCCGAACGCTAGTGCCTTGATGAATGCGAAAGCAGTGGAAGTCGCCTGCCCGTCGTATCCGGGAGGTGGACGCCCGAATCCGTGTAGAGCGGAGGGGATTGTCTGATTTACTCGAATCCGTGTAGAGCGGAGGGGTAATTCAACTTCACTGTCTCCTGGAAAGGATCCCATGTACCGTCGTATCCGGGGGTGGGAAGGTTTCCAGTTACAGCCATGCCGTCGTATCCGGAAGGTTGTTGTATGTACATAGGAGGTTTGCGATAGGGCTGGGTAGGGGGTTTAGGCTTTGAATTCTGTGCATACTGATTTTGATACTGTTTGAAACTGAAAATGCTTTTTAAATAGTTATACGAGATAACCGTGCGATAAAGGTGAGCTAGTTGGTTGCTCACCCCCATTATTTTTCTTGTTGGTTTCTCTCTTACTTTGTTTTAGGTTGAGACGAGCTGGAGGCGGTGGCGTAGGACGAGCGAGATGGTGGTCACTGTTTGATGATATATTGTGCTTCCACCTGTTTATGATTTGTTGAACTGGAACTTGACTTGAATTATTTTCTCGCTTGGATTTGGATATTTTATTATGTGTTTATGTCCCTGCTTGATTTCGTATACTGATTATGTGTTCCGCATGAACTTGTTATTTAACTATTTGCTATCGTACTTTGGATTATTTATTTCGTCATTTTTGAACTATGTTGAATATCGTTTGAACCTTGATTTCATGCTAATAGTTTGGGAATGATTTCGAAACTTATGATTTATGAGATTTTCATTTTCATAGCTCGAGCATGTGTAGGTTCATTGGATGGTTTGATTGAGTGTGGTTGTTTGTTGTGGTTAATAAGTAGCGTCCGTTTCTCGATAAATGTTTTAAATTGGGATTTTGAGAAAAATAAACTCTGATTTTTATAAATAAATTCGGTAAATTCTTTAAAATAAAATGGGGCGTTACAGGATCGCTGCTGAGGGGGAGGTCGGGAGGCAGGAGGTGAGCTGCGAGGGTGTCGTGGCTTGGTTGGTGTCCTGTGGTGTGTTGGTGGGCTGGGCTGTAGGCTTTGGATTGATGTGTGGCTTGGGTTTGGTATTTGTTAAGGGAAGGCCCAAAGATGGGCTGGGAATGGTTGAGGGATGAGAGGAGGGTAAATGGGCTTCTTGATTTAATAACATTGAGTGGGCCGATTGAATATTGGGCCCAAAGGGGGGAATTTGTCCCAGAATGGATTCCCGTAGCTCAGGATTGGCTGGGAAAGACTGAGATGGAGCCGAGGGTTTCTTACCAGTCAACGCAAGGATGGCGGCGGTTTTTGTCTCTTTCAATGGAAATAATTCCGGCGACGGGGATGATGAGCCGATAATGAGTGACGGATCTATTTTTTGGGGTTGAGAAACTCTGTCATTTTTCGCGGCGGGGCTTGTCTCCTCCAAAGGAGCATCTTCCGGCGACAGAGTCTCGAGTGTGAGCGGCGGGTTTTTGATGGCGGCTGAGGAATCGCCGGCGACCTTGGTGACGGGAGAAACACGATCTGAGATATCAGCGATAGTAGTGGAAACTGATATATCGGCGACGGGAGCTTCAATGACTGGTACCTCTCCCTTTTCACGCCGAGGGTTATTGCTCAAAAAAATCCTTACGACTTGTTGGAATTCCGGGAGCTGAAAAAGCGTGGAGTAATCTTGCTGTGAAATGGTTGAGAGATGCGTGGGATTGTCCAAAGTTTGGTTGAGCTGTTGTGAGGACGAAGGTGAAGTAGGTTGGGGTTGCGCCATGGAAACAGGTGGTTGAGCTGGGAGGCTCGGCGGCCCAGGGCCGGGCCGCCGGTGGTTAAGCGGTGGTGGTGGTGGCCGCGGCGGTAGGGAAGATAACGGTGGCGATTGAGTGGGATTTTTCTAGAGAGAGAAATGTAGAGAGAAGTTGGAGCATTTTTCTTGCTGCTAGGTTAGTTCGTCTTTTGCTGCTAGGTTAGTTGTCTTTTGTTGCTAGGTTATTTCTTTCTTGCTGCTAGGTTAGTTGTCTTTTGTTGCTAGGTTATTTCTTTCTTACTGCTAGGCTAGTTGTTTGATGCTGCTAGGTTAGTTGTCTTAAGTTGCTAGGTTAGTTATCTGTAGTTGCTAGGTTAGTTGTCTTTTGTTGCTAGGTTAGTTCTTTCTTGCTGCTAGGTTAGTTGTCTGATGCTGCTAGGTTAGTTGTCTTTTGTTGCTAGGTTATTTCTTTCTTGCTGCTAGGTTAGTTGTCTTTTGTTGCTAGGTTATTTCTTTCTTGCTGCTAGGTTAGTTGTGTTTTGTTGCTAGGTTAGTTGTCTTTGTTGCTAGTTTAGTTGTTCTTTCTTGCTGCTAGGTTAGTTGTGTTTTGTTGCTAGCTAGTTTAGTTGTTCTTTCTTGCTGCTAGGTTAGTTGTGTTTTGTTGCTAGGTTAGTTGTCTGATGCTGCTAAGTTAGTTGTGTTTTGTTGTTAGGTTAGTTGTCTGATGTTGAGGTTAGTTGTGTTTTGTTGCTAGGTTAGTTGTCTTTGTTGCTAGTTTAGTTGTTCTTTTTTGCTGCTAGGTTAGTTGTGTTTTGTTGCTAGCTAGTTTAGTTGTTCTTTCTTGCTGCTAGGTTAGTTGTGTTTTGTTGCTAGGTTAGTTGTCTGATGCTGCTAAGTTAGTTGTGTTTTGTTGTTAGGTTAGTTGTCTGATGTTGAGGTTAGTTGTGTTTTGTTGCTAGGTTAGTTGTCTTTGTTGCTAGTTTAGTTGTTCTTTTTTGCTGCTAGGTTAGTTGTGTTTTGTTGCTAGCTAGTTTAGTTGTTCTTTCTTGCTGCTAGGTTAGTTGTGTTTTGTTGCTAGGTTAGTTGTCTGATGCTGCTAAGTTAGTTGTGTTTTGTTGCTAGGTTAGTTGTCTGATGTTGCTAAGTTAGTTGTATTTTTTTTTTGGGAAATTTTTATGTATACTTACTGATTTTTAGATAATTGTAATATTACTATCCATACCAATTAAATTGTGTATATACCTAAAAGATAAATATTAATTATAATCATGCCTAAAATCAGTTACAAGGTAAGTGGAACAACCTCCCATGTTCATAATCATGCCTAAAATCAGTTACAAGGTAAGTGGAACAACCTTCCATGTTCCTAGCGCGTAATTTCAGGAAATCGGGCAAAGAGTACGAAATTTCACGAAATCTTCATCGCCTATATATATTGTTTTAACATATACTGCAAATATACTGTACATATACCTGTCGAACATCTTCATGTTAATGTCATGAGAAAATATACAGAGAATATACTGATAATATACCGTCGAACGTCTTCCTGTTAATGCCATGAGAAAATATGCCGAAAAGATATTGATAATATACCGAAAATTTTTAACTATTACATACTATCGAACGTCTTCCTATTAATGTCATGAGAAAAAAAAAATGGAAAACAGTTAAACATGACTAAAAATATACTGGAAATAAACCATACAATTTTCATTGAACAATAAAAACAAGAAAAAACTACAAAGTATAGACTCAAAAAATCAACTGAACAAAAACAAAATGATACAAATAAGCAATTCTCATTCCTCCCAAAAGACTAATAATATACTGAAGAAAATCAATCCGACCGAAACAAACATTCGTCAACAAAAAAATTTGCTAATATACTAAACATAAGCTTATTTTTTGGCAGGGACGCGGGTCATATACTGTACATATACTGCATATATACTCAGAAAAAATAAATTAAAAATATATATTAGAAATGGCAGCAGCAGAAAGGGAAGAAGGCGCAGAGCGTGGAGACCAACACGACGGCCTCGAAAAGCCAAGACGATCTTGAAGAGTACCCCATCGACGAATCACAAATGCAAATTTGAGCGAGATGCATCTCTCGTCGCGGATGTTTGAGCGAGACGGTGCTTGAGCGAGACGGAGGCGGATGCGGCGGCAGAAGGGGGATTGGAGGAGGTGGCTGACTTGTGTGAAGGGGGATTGGAGGAGTCGACTGATTCAGTCGAAACGACGGGTTCGATTGATGCTATTCGTCTTGGAAGGGGGATCGGAGGAGTCGACTGCTTCGATTGATGCTATTGGCGCGGACGGTGAGGTGGTGGTGGCGCCGACGGTGGAGGGACTTGTGTGAAGAAAAGAGGGATAGGGTCGTGTGTGAAGAAGAGAGAGAGGGATAGGAAAGAGACGTAATTGATGGGAAATTACCATTTAATAGGAAATCAGTTGATGGAAAGTTACCATGTAAAATAGGGAATCATCTTTTTAGGCATATGTGCAAATAAAATTAACAAAATTAGCTAATTTACAAATAATTACAAGGGGAATGTAATTATATAATATTTTCAAATTGTTTAAGTGGAGAGTGTAAATTCCTCTTTTTTTTTTTATAAAAAAATTGTAACCCATAGGATTTGAACCTGGTACCTCATGGAGGCAAGACAAGCAATGCAACCACTACACCACTCAAGGTTGAGTGTCTTTTGTTGCTAGGTTATTTATTTCAATACAACGGGTCAACGCTGGAAGTCAACGGTCAACGCCGGAAGTCAACGATTCTTCAATGAAAGAAATAAGAATAAATCTTGGTAATTAGATCAAATGACCCAATGGCTAAAAAAATAAAATTATATCTTCATTAATAGCATTATGGTAATTTTACTCAATAAACCTGTGGGCCCCACCACACACCAGCTCATCAAACTCACTCCCCAACCACCACCCCATCTGTGGGAGTGGAACCCACCAACACATCCTCTTTCACACACAAAACACACACCCACGTGTGCCTCTCTCTCATCAACGGGTTTTAAGCCTGCAAAAATAATAAAAAAAAATTAAAAAAAATCACAACCAGCTCACTCGTCGGCGTCCTCCCGTTGACGGCATCGACGGCCACATCAGCAGCGCCGGCTACGACGGCGTGCTCCGGGGGTACAACATCACCCTCGAACACCGCAAGTAGACGCCGCAAGTGACGGCTTCTGCATCACCGGTGCCCGCAAGCAACGGGTTTCTGCCTCTTCGGTGGCCACAAGCCGGCACTGCTCCAGCTCCAAACCAGCACAGCAGGCCAGTCGCGGAAATCAGATGCGACATCTACCTCCTTTGTCCGCCGGCCGACGAGATATTAGATGGGAAGAAAACGGCGCGCTGTGCACCGGCGGCAAGCTGGACGACCGGAGATTGCCAAATCGATCTTCACGGTGAGAGCTGAAATTGTTTCAAGAGCTGCTGGTGAAGGAGATTGAGATGGAGATAACAAAATCAGTTTCAATAAATGGAGGCATGCATTGGAGAATTTGATAAATTCAAGGGACTTAATTACAATTTTTAGAATTTTATTAAATTTCAATTCACTCCATGGGCCAAATCTATAATTTATATAAATTTAATAAAAAAATATTATTTATCATTTATTTTTTATACACATATATTAAAATGATAAATAAAAATAAAAATAAAAATAATATAAAATATTAATATCAAAATAATTAATAATATTAAAATATTTAATAATAAATATTTTTTTATAATATAATTAAAAAATATTTCGACTATTTAGGTAAATTCAGTTAACTAGGTTCATTGTTAGTTTAGATTTGTACATGAAAAAACCTATATTAAGGGTACACAGTAGTTTTTAACTAAATTTGGAATACCTTGAAGTCAATTTATGATTTAATTATCATTAACACGACCTCGATCACCAATACCAACATGACCTTAATCACGAACGAGCATTTATTTTATGGTGTTACGTTCAAATAAATTTATTATGAAAATTCATTTTCATTCTTGATGGAGATGATAGAAAATCATGTACGATTTGATATGTTGAAATCATAATCGGGAAGACCTTTATTCACTATTCATCGTAGGTCACCTATAACATAATCTAGTACAAGCAATAATAGGTAGCTATCAAATAATTCAGTTAATGAACTTCATCTTATTTAAATCACTAAGTAAATTTATAAAAGAAAATAAATAACTAATATAATTATGTAATAGTATATTATCGATTAATAGAGTAGATGAGAAATCTAAAAGTTTCCAACATGTCATTATTTTTTTTATATTTTGTCTAAAAATTACACTCCCTTAAGTCCTAACCCAATCCCACACGTTAAATTCACACCAAATATGACGAAAAAAACATGATAGAGTCAGGTCACCGATGGTTTCGTTTCATGTCCCTACAAATCTCTGGAAAAGGAAAAAATAATGTAATTCACGAAAAAAACAAAAACAGAGGTCAAAAACATAAACGACGCGGCCGTCGTCGTCTGCTAGAACCCTCTTCAACACTCTCACCTCTTCTTGTCGAATAAAAATAAAAACTAATCACTTGGAGTGTTCTTCCTCCCATATACTTCTAGATTCCTCGTTCCGTTTCCCCTTATTCTCTTCTTCTTCTTCTCAAATTCCCGTAATATCGAGATTCTTACTCGACACACTTTTCCAGTAACCTTACCGAAACTGTTCTGGCTGTGGCAGTTTCGTTTTCCTTACACAAACAATCTTCAACAATTTTTCAAATTCAAGGTTTATTATGATCCCAACCTTAATTTCTGTCAAAACCCCATTTCCTATTCCTACCATCAACCCATATCTCAAGAATCCTAAGATTTACTGTTCCCAGCAAAGGAACTCCAAAAACGCTGTGAAAGAATGCAGAAAGAACAAAACCAATGTGCATCCTGCTATCGTTTTTATCCCAAATGAAGAAAAACATGAGGAGAAACTCATATCTAGAGTAAAAAACGGATCTTTACAGATGGGCAGTCGAGATATGATGAGATTATGCGGGCTAGGTTACTATGTGAACGGTTTCAGGGGTTTCCCTTGGTTGGCCTTGAATTACCACATGACTCACAATCTTAACATGCATCCATCCACATTGCAGCTTGTGCAGAATTCTGCTAACTTGCCTATGGTGGCAAAGCCTTTATATGGGATTTTATCTGATGCTATCTACATTGGCGGTGCTCATAGGATACCTTACATTTCTATTGGTGGTAAAGTACCTAAATATTTTTTCCTATTTCCTTTTTGTCATTTCATTGAGTGCACTATGTTGTTCATTGACAATGGTTTTGTATACATATTCTTATATCTAAGTTTCACTTGTTTCGTAGTTTTTTCTAGTTAGTAGCATTGATTTGAGTAGGGGAGAGTTTTCAATTATAATCAATATATTTGTTATGAATACTGCTTGGGCCGAAAAGTTACTGCTTTTGAAAGTAGTACCTTTTCCAAGTTATCACTTCTATTAGCCGATGCTTTGAGTGACTTTTGATAAAATGTGGTTGCAGAAATGTCATTTTTTTTTCTTTTTAACAAAAATTATATCAAGTTGATGATCTCAGTTGACATGAATTTACATGCTGGGCAATAAAGAGATTTTTTTATGCATTGTGATTGTTTTCTTGAAACTATTGTTTGGTTTCAGGATCTTGAAATTCGGATAAATGTTAGCTGCTACTTGCAAAGTTTAGCAGAATTTGCTTCTGTATCTGCATCTTTTGTTCAAAATTAACCTCTTGTCACCTGAAAAGAGTGCCAATTGTAAAAATCTGCAGCTTCGAAAAACTTTGTTACATTATTCATCAAATGCTCAACCCATATACAAATCCTTGTTCCCATTCATCCACAAGAGTGGACAATAATTAATAACATTGATCTTTTCCAGTCCTCCTGCAGATTGTCTCTTGGGTCTCATTAGCCTTAATCCCGGTTGCCAGTGAAGCTTATCGTCCTCTAATGACATGCGTTCTCTTAAGCAACCTTGGGGCATCCTTAGCCGAAGTAGCTAAAGATGCACTCATTGCAGAATACGGGCAGAAGAACAAAACCCATGGCCTCCAATCTTACGCCTTCATGGCCTCAGCCTTTGGTGGGATTCTTGGTAACCTAATTGGTGGATTTTTTCTTCTCAAAACCCAACAGCCCAAATCCATGTTTTTAGCCTTTGCAACCATACTCTCCCTCCAACTCACGTTATGTCTTCAAACTCGAGAGGAATCTCTCGGCCTACCACAGCCCTTGAATTATACATATTTTCAAGAATCGATTTTTGACATAATTAAAAAGCAATATTCCGATTTAATGGCAGCAGTTAGGGAAAGTTCTGTGTGGCGTCCATTGATTTGGGCTGTCTCGTCAATTATATTGGTCCCAATGCTTTCGGGCTCGTTATTTTGTTACCAGACTCAGAATCTCCATTTGGGCCCGTCGATTATTGGGCTTTCAAAAGTGACGGGCCAGCTTATGCTGCTCTCCTTAACCGTTTTGTACAATAGGTTCGGGAAAAACGTGCCCATGAGAAAACTAGTCGGGATAACGCAAATCGTGTACGCGTTTTCGCTTCTTCTCGATTTTGTTCTTGTCAAGCAGCTGAACGTTTGGGCCGGGATTTCGAACGAGGTTTACACTCTGTGCTTTTCTGGGCTGGCCGAGACTGTGGCCCAATTCAAGCTCCTGCCTTTTCACGTGCTTTTTGCCAGCCTGGCGCCACCTGGATGTGAGGGCTCATTGATGTCGTTTTTGGCTTCGGCTTTGTGTTTGTCGTCAATAATCGGCGGGTTTTTGGGGGTCGTTTTGGCCTCATCTCTCGGGATAAGTTCTGGTGATTACTCGAGCTTGCCTTTGGGGATTTTGGTGCAATTTTTTGCGGCTTTGTTGCCTTTAGGTTGGATTGATTACGTGCCCATGTCCGGGATTTTTCGTGAGAGGAGTAGAAAGAGAGTTGGGAGTAAAAAGTCGAGGAGGAATAGGAGAGTGGGCCGAGTAGTTTTCGACTCGGTATATTCTTATCGTCGGGTGAGGGAATCTGATTTGCAGAGGTGAAAATATTTTGTAAAGGTTTTTTGGGACTTGTTTGTGGTTAGGTGTTTCCTGCTGCAACTTGTGGTAATAGTGTTGTGAGTTAGTTGGCTGTAGGACAAGCTGGTGAATTTTACCAACGAGTATTCTTATAGTTGGTTTTTTTTACTGCTTGAGAGGGAAAGTTGTTTCCTTTAAAGGAGAAGCAATGTAGAAAGGTGGGAGAGTANACTTTAATTATTTTAATTTAAACTTAAATATCAACTAATAGCTAATCATGTCATTTTTTTTCAAAATTAACTATAGTTAAAAAAAAAAACTAATTAAAAACTATTTAAATCTATATCCAATCACCTCTAAAATACATTGTCTTCATATTTTTCGTTTTGATTTGAACAGAAACTTTTCTTAATTTTCATCAACTCTGTGTAACTCAGATTTAGGAACCCCATTCCACAACACTAGTATAGTGCCCGTGCGATGCACGGGAGCATTTATTACCTACTTGCATTTTAAAATTTATTTTTATATTTAATTTGTCTAATGACAATAAAAATATCATGAAAATAAAATTTATATGTTATTGAACATTTCCTTATAACATTCTTGATTTGATTCTTTGGCTCGTAAAGTACTTTATGTATGTTCAAAATTTATCTAAAATTGTATATTATTAGTTATTAGTTAACAAATTATATTTTTTAAAATAATTAAGGGATCTTATTTATTAAACAAAATTCTAGTAGACCAAAAGTAGAACTTTTAAGATTTTCACGCCTTTTTTTTTTTAAAAAAAAATCTAATTCAATGTTGTGATTATGAAAAACTGAAAAAAATAATTAATTTTTTCTAAAAATGAAACCGACTTTCCTACCAATGCACCGATTGTTTTTACCAAACAAATTGATCCGGATATTTGCTTGAAAAGAATCATCATTTTTTCCTAAAAATGCAACCAAATTGTCCTAACATTGCACCAATTTTTTTTACCAAACAAATTGAAATGAAATTAATTCTAATAAAAAATAGAAATAATTTGTTAAAATTTAAAAATTTATGAAATTGTTTCTTTCTTAAAAAAAAATTGATACGAACTTAACGAAAAAAATGATATGAATTTACCAAAATCTCGATAAAACATAGTTAAGAAAAAAACATAAGAATAAAAAAATATTGGTGCATTTTTTAAAAGTCGCACACGGTCTTGTAAAAGTTGCATATGATTTTGATATTATTGAATTTTTTTCTAAATAATTGGATAGAATTTTACTTTAAAATCAAAGATGAACCGATTTTGTTATAAACAAACGTGGATACGATTTTGAATGTAAATCCCGTCCAAATCTCAACTTTGTTTTAAATTAAAAATTGCACGTGGCTTTATCCAATTTGCACACATTTGTTGAAAAATAAAATTATTCAAAAATATTGGAAGAATGTTAAGAATTATACAATTATTTGTTTCCCAAATTTGTATCCAATTTGCACGATTTTTAAATTAATTTGTATTTAGAATTATTTTCATAAATAATTGACACATTTTTTGCATAAGAATTTCCAAATTTGTTACCTAAAACAATGGAATTTAGATTGTAGTAAAAAAAAATAATAAGAAAAAAGTGGTATTCAAAATTTTGTCATAAGAATCTCCAAATTTGTTACCAAATGAATAAGATTCAGATTTTGTTAATTGTACTAAAAATTTCCACTAATAGTAAGTCAAACATTATATTTTTTTTGTCAAACTTTCCACAAATGATTTTTCCATCAACCTTTTTCAATATACTCGTACGGCGCCCGCGCGATGCACGGGAGCATTTATTATTATATTTTTTTTTAAAAGATATTTTTGTATTTAAATTGTCTCATGACATTAAAAATTTTATGCAAATGAAATTTATATGTTATTAAACACTTCCTTATGTACAACATTATTGATTTGATTCTTTGGCACGTAAAGTACTACATAGGTGTTCGGATTTATCCAAAATTGCATATTATTAGTTATTAGTTAATAAATTTTAAAAAAAAGGATCTTATTTATTGAACAAAATTAAAGTAGAAAAAAAAATAAATTTTTTTAGAGATTTTCACCCATTATTTATTTTAAATCTAATTTAAATTTCAATTAAGAAAAATTGAAAAGAATCATTAGTTAGTCCCGGAAATGAAACCGATTTCCTACCAATAAACCGATTTTTTATCAAACAAATTGATCCGATTTTTTTTTTAAAATTTTCCTAAAAATGCAACCAAATTTACATTGCACCAATATTTGTACCAAACAAACTGAATTGAAAATAATTCTAATAAAAAATTGAAATAAATTGTTAATGTTTATGCAACTATCTCTTTCTTAAAGAAAATGATATGAACTTAACCAAAAAAAAAAATGATAGGAACTTACCAAAATCTCGGTAAAATATGGTTAAGAAAAAACATAGGATCCAAAAAGATCGATGCATTTAAATTTTGAAAAGTTGCACATAATTTTCCTAAATAATTAGATAAGGTGACTTTAAATATCAATGATGAACCGTTTTTGTTACCAAAAAATGTGGACACAATTTTGAATGTACATCCTATCCAAATATCAGTTTTATTTTCAAATAAAAATTGCACGTGGTTTTATACAATTTACACAATTTTTTAAAAGAAAAAATTATTCAATAAGATTGGAAGAATTGGTTAAGAATTATACAACTATTTGCTTCCTAAATTTGTATCCAATTTGCACGGTTTTTAAATTAATTTGTATTTAAAATTCTTTTCATAAATAATTGACACATTTTTTACATAAGAATCTCCAAATTTGTTACAAAAAAAGATATGATTTAAATTTTGGTAAAAAAATAAAATATGATACGAAAAATATGAGATTCAAATTTTACCATAAGAATCTCCAAATTTGTTACCAAAAAAATAGGATTTAGATTTTGTTACTAAAGATTCACATGTATTTTTTTGAACTTTCCATTAATAGTAAGTCAAACATTATATTTATTTGGTCAAACTTTCTATTAATATATTTTTCCAATAACCTCTTTATATATATATATAGATATAGATATAGATATAGATTTCTTAATTCCTTGAAAATCCACAACTCACAATGACAACAAACACTTTCAAATAACGTTACCATCATCAACTCACGACACTTCCATCAAATAAACGAAATCAGGGCAAGAACACGTTGGCAAATCCAAACTCGAACGCATCACCTTCATAACCGAGACAAGCCCATCAAGCATCTCGTAAATCGAGTCGCAACAAGGATGCGACTTATCCGCCACGAAAAAGCTATGAGTCGAGCTATTTATACTGATCCAACTGCATCCAGGCACCTTCCTCAGCCCCCTATCTCTCATGGCCGACCTCACTCGAGCCACAACATCCCATTTTTGAGAAGACGCATATAAATTCGACAACGACACATAATTCGAACCATTATCAGGCTCTAATTGAATGAGAGCCTTATAAGCCACATTTTGCATCTCACTATTCCCATGAATCACGCACGCACTCAAAAGAGCTCCCCAAATGCTAGGACTCGGCTCAACCGGCATGGCCTTGATAAAATCGAGGGCTCGGTTTAGCTCACCCGATTTTCCAAACATGTCCACCATGCAAGAACACATCTCGACTGTTGGTTTAATTTTATATTTGTTCACGATCAAGTCGTATATTCTCGTTCCTTGGTCTACGAGACCCGATTTACAGCATGCGGAGAGAACGCCGACAATTACGCTAGTGTCCGGTTTTATCTCGTTACCGAGCATTTTATCGAAAAGAATAACTGCATTCTGACCCTGGCCGTGTAAGCCGTGGCCCGATATAATCGAACCCCACGAAATTGCATCCTTATGAATACACTCGCGTTCGAACACACGAGTCGCGTAATTCAAACTCCCGCATTTAGAGTACGTGTCGATTAAGGCGTTGCATAGAGAGAGCGCGAGATTTAATTCCTTTCGAAGGGCAAAACCGTGAATTTGCTTCACGCCTAGCAAACCGCTGAGTGAGCTAGAAGCTGGCAATACGGCAACAAGCGTGACTTTATTGGGTCCTACTCCATGCAGCTGTTGCATTTGCCGGAAAAGGAACAAGGCTTCATCAAAACCTCCACAGTGCACGTAGCCATTGATCATGGCAGTCCAAGTAAAAATATTCTTGAATTTCAATCTATCGAAAATTTTTCTTGCTACATGGACTCTACCGTTCTTGGAGTACATATCGATCAAACAACACCCCATATGAACATCACTATCTGGTGTGTAAGTTGTATTCAATCCATTCCGAATGATGTACGAGTGTAATTCTCTTCCAAGATCACATTTTTCGTCACATTTACCGTTGCACAATGGAAGGAGAGTGGAGGTGGTGAATGCATTCAATTTGAATCCTTCACTTTGCATTTGTTTTACAAAGTCCCACAACCTGTGTGTAAATAAGACGTCTTTTTTCCCATATTCTAAGTCTAGTTTAACGTAACCTGAAATCAAGGCGTTCCATGATGACACATTCCTTTGAGGCATTTCATCAAACACCTTCTGACAATCACGAAAGCACCCACACCTACCGTACATAGACATCAACGAATTCCCTACCACTACATCGAATGCGAGCCCCATTTTCACACTCCTCCCCTGCACAGCCTTCCCGTGAGAAATCTCCACTGAATCGGCCGCCGCCTTAAACATTATGGAGAAACTGAAATCATTCGGCGACGGCAAATTGGAACCTTCGCACATCTCCCTGAAAATGCGCGAGCTCTCGAGGAAAAGCTGATTCCTGCCATACCCGCTCAGGAGAGTGTTGCAGATTTCCGTGCTCTTAACCTCGATCGAGTCGAAGACCAGGCTCGCGTCGGTGGGGCGTTTGAGTTGGCAGCAGGAGAAGATGAGCTTCTGGGCGATGAGGGGATGCTGCGCGAGGCCCAACCGCTGAGCTCGCGCGTGGGCTTGCAGAGTGAGTTCAAGGGAGTGGGTTTCAGTGGAGAGATGGAGGAGGCTGAGGAGGGAGCCCAAAGGGTCGATGGCGGAGGGAAAAGTATGAACCGACCGGAGCTGGTTGCGGAGGGTGGATGAGGTTCTGGAGAAGGTGATCATATGAATTGGAAAACGAGAATGGTTGATAAAAGCGTTCCGGCGGCGGCCGAAGAATTGTTTGTATTGCCTTTATTGTTGATAAATTTTGCGCCGGAGCATTACTTCGGAGGAATTTTGCGCCGGAGCATTACCGGGGCAACGTGACGGAAAAATCAGTGACCTATTAAGGTCGCGCGATTGTTCTTATAAATCGGATACATGAATAATTATTTTTATAAATCGGATACATGATATGTAAAATTGAAAAGAATCACGTGCATTAAGATCGGAATCAAAATCAATAAAAAGCCATTAAAATATTATTGAATCACAAAAAGTTCGTTAACAATCATATATTATTAAAAACCTCTTTGTATACAACATTATGAGTTTGATTATTTGATACCTCCTCGTTATCACAAACTAATATTTTCAACCTCCTTTTATTAGTTACACGCGAAGCAGCAACATATAATTGGCCGTGACTAAAAACGGGTTTCTTCAGGAAAAGAACAACGTGCGATAAAGATTGTCCCTGACTCTTGTTTATGGTCATGGCATACGAAACCATAAGTGGGAACTGCCGCCGCTGGAATTTAAATGGAATTCTAGTATCAGATGGAGTGATATTCATTCTAGGAATCAAGACCTTCTCGCCAGCGTGATCTCCTGTCAATATCTTGCATTCGAGGACATGAGTAGATAATTTAGTCACAACCAATCGAGTCCTATTGCAGAGTCCCATAGAATGGTCCATATTGCGCAACAACATTATCGGAGTTCCTATCTTCAGGTGCAACTCATGGTTGGGAGTACCAGAACACTTGATGCTATTCAAGAATTCTGGCGTGTGAAGATCTGCCAAGAAATCATTTCCGGACTCCGACTTAGAAGTGCTGTCCGAGCTCAAATACGTACGACCTTCAGAAGAATTCATATCGGACATGTATTGGTTGATGGACTCAACAACCTCCAACGTGGGAGCTAATATTGCCCTATCCTTCAAATAACTCGGATCGTCAGTCGCGTTCTTGAACATTGGATAGGTACTTTCTACAATCATAGCAATTGGATCATCTGAGGGATCCAATCTTATATCATCTGGAATATCGATTGCGGCACAACCGTCATTTGGTCCTCCTATAGTACCATCTCCAATACTCGCAATCCAATCCGCAAATGCAGCCACCTCGTCACGCTCCTCTGAATCAGAAATGCTCTGAAGACGCATGTTTTTCGTAAGACGGAGAATAGTACAGTCCTTCCAAATGCTAGATGCATTAATAGTTGCATTGACAATATCCTGACGGCTCCCCTTTGGAATCACTGGAAGGATCTGTCTGAAGTCTCCACCAAAGACAATCGGCTTGCCTCCAAAGGGCTTGCTACTATTCAAAGGGTCAACTACGCCCATTATAGCCTGCAGCGATGTCTGAACTGCTTCAAAGCAATATTTGTGCATCATCGGTGCCTCGTCCCATATGATTAGAGAGCAACGAATTATTAGTTCCACAAGAGGACTTGCCTGATTGATATCACACGACGAATTTTCATGAATACTCAACGGTATTCGAAATCGAGAATGTGCAGTTCTTCCACCGGGCAATAAAAGCGATGCGATTCCACTCGATGCTACGCATAGAACAATTTTACCCTTCGACCGTAACGCCGCAGACAAAGTCCTCCACAAGTAGGTCTTCCCAGTACCACCATAACCGTATACAAAAAAGACTCCACCGGCACCTAAATCAACTGCGGACATAATTCGTGAATAAACTCTTTTTTGCTCATCGGTCATTCTCCGAAGAAGGGATTCATGCTCCACAGCCATTTCCTCTCGATCGTAATTAAGCTCATCCAATATAAGGCAGTTTGAAGTGTTATGCATACTATCTCTGTCTGGATAAGGCATGGATGAATAATCACGAAGACTTGCGCCACGAATTCGCAACATAGTCTCAATCTCAGCAAGTGTGAGATTCTTGATAGCATCTTCACTGAGCCGCAAATCAAGAATTTTTAAAATATATATGAAAAAAAAATGATAATAAATATACAGATAAATTGAAAATATATAAAAAGAATATTTACCATCGTTATTGAACAATCTTCGTTGTCTATATAAAATGTCATCAGATAAAAATATCCAACAACGTTGCCATACGTCATCCGGTCTACCCATAGACCCGGAAACCAACAATGACACAAACATACGCCTAAGAGACTCTGCAGATGCCCAGTGACTTGCTTCGGTTATACCATCTATGAACTCTCTGTCATCATCCAACAATCCGTGTTCGTAGCAAGTATCTCTATAATTAAGATACTGAGTGTGGCCAACTTTCATGTAGTCCTCGTGGCATGTAGCACCGCAAACAACAATTAACAAACATCTCAAATAGTAATTATCTCCGCAGCCAGGGTTCACGTAGTGTAGGCGGCCTATTGTACCATCTTCCCTTTTTCGAGGCCTCCACTCTCTGTCTGTTGTGTCCTAAAGAAATTTAGACGGTGCCTCAACATAAGTAAGCTGCCGAGCCGCTGGGTACTTCTTATTCGCCTCGAACCATGCAAGGAATTGGCTCTCATTCACAGTTGGTTTGTTCAAAACATCCTCTAAGTCATCATCATCTTCAAAAATAATGTTCTGCTGCCCTTCAAGATGGAAACTCAATCGTTGTACTGCAGGCCTCTTGTACTGCAGCTCAAAACCAAGCAACCTCCAAGCAGCTTCACAAGAGAACACATAACGACAATCATAGTACATGTTGATCTCATCTAAAGGTTTTTCAACATCTCCATCTCCAGAACTCTGATAGAATGAGGCGGTTACACGATCATTTCCTTTGTTAACATACTTGAATAAGTACTTTATGGATCGTGATTGATTGCACCACTCAACATTAACATGCGCTCTATATTTCATCAACAAACGACGATTGTAAGGCACAACATAACCATTATTGAGAACGACACCATTCTTCTCAATATGCTTACCATCATCTCGACGCATGTAACGTGGATACCCATCCTCATCTACAGTAGTGGAATCGACAAACTTTTTTGGAAATCGTTTGCTGTATTTGCTATTGACCATGCACGGTGAGTTTGGTCGTGCTGCACCACACGGTCCGTGTATCATATGATCCTTCACAGCTTCATAATACATCGGATCAGACGTCTCATCTGGTATCTCAGCAGATATTATCCTATCAATATCAGACGGGTCGGGAAACTTATCCTCTTTGGCAAGGAAAAGCAGTATGTGAGCATGCGGCAGTCCACGCTTTTGGAATTCAATGGTATAAACAACTGAAATACATACACATAACAAACATTAATAAAAGAATATAACTAATACATGATTAATATTGAAAATATATAAAAATAATTAACTATTAAATTAATGAAAAACAAAAAAAATTAAAGAAAACGTTTCACCTGCAATAACCTTTCCAAAGATTTTTTTCTCACGAAAATCCTTTATCATCTGTTTAAGTTTTGCCCTAAATACTCTGCAAATAATATCTGGTCGATCTTCAGGACGCAATTTCCTCGGCTCAAGAAAACGACTAATTTTCGGCCAGTTTGGATTACAAGTAAAAGTGATAAACAAATCAGGATATCCAGCCCATCTACAAATTGCCATTGCATCCTGGTAATTTTGTATCATATTTCTTGGACCTCCAGTGAATGAAGAAGGGAGAATAATACATTTTCCTCGGGAGCTGGGATCAGTATCGCCACGCAACACAGCGTCCTAAAAACCCTTATACATCTCACAACGAAGCTTTTTCTGATTAAAGCGAATATATCGCAATCTCGATGATTCCACCATTGTATAAGCGTCAACTACAAATTGTTGAAATAGCCTTCGAGCAGAAAGAATTGTCCGTGGCTCACACTCCCTATCATGCATACGGTATGCAAAATACTCTCTGCAACTAACGTGTTTTCTACCCTTTTCAGTATCTGCTTTAATAGCAGAAAATGGAATGTCTTCCCTATAGCCATCCTCTCCATAAGGCAATAACAGTGGGTATTGTAAAGCCAAATACGAAGCATTTAATTCGTTTATCCGTTGCATACGGCCACTCTTCGATTCAACTAAAATGTCCCTTTCACCTAGAGACTGATCGAAATCACCAACAATCAAAGCAGCAACTTCAGAGCTTGACGGTAGATTATATCGTCTGGCATCATTGTATCTCTTTCCTATTAGACGGATTCTAACATCATGCTGACCATGGTTATGAATTCTATCTCGCCATACGAAATGACTTCACCAGCTCATTATCGTTGTCTACCATTTCCTTCAACCCAACGATAATATCCTCGTGCAAGTTGTTATCAACATCTGTTTGTCTAAAAAAAATAATAAGAAAAAATAAAATTAAAAATATTAAATAATAAAAATAATAATACTATTAGGTAACCAACATTGATATAGTTTAAAGTACAAACCTCACGGCGTTCATTCTATTTGAAATCTCATTTTCAGTATCATATATGTACAACTGTGCAAACTTTGGAGTTGAACCGTCTGAAGGAAGCAAACTACCCATCAGATGATAATTTTGGCCATGAAGGGTAAAAACAGGTGGTCCAGTACCACGGTTAATAGATCGATCAACTTTTCCCCCAAATGATGTAAAGGCAAACATGCTATTGTAAGATCTGATGTTATCTTGAAAATGCTTGCTTCTACGACTATCTCCAAAGAGCATTTCATTCAGAAATCTGGGCGGATCTTTCAGGATCGGGAGTTCAACAATCCCATTTTGGCAACAACCACTATAATCTGGTATATTTTTAATTTTCTGAGTTGTTTTCTTTTCAACTACCCAAAAAAGTGCTCCACAATATTGGCAATTCAATATCGCATCGCCAATATCCCAATATTCTGCATAATTGTATAAAAAAATCTATTTATATCAACAATCCCATTATTGAAATTTATTTCTAAAATTAAATATAGCAAAGAAAAAACAACCTTTATTTCTTGAAGTTGATCCTTGATT